GCTTGCCTTGCTGGCTCTCTCCGATCTTCTGCCATGTCCGATTTTCCAAGATATATAGCACCTCGCCCTGCTTCTTTTGGATCATCTCCAACACTCTTTTCAAGTCTTTGAATGACGCCCCTCTTGGGTCCTCCATGCCTCTTCCTTCTCCTGCCCTTGAGTAGCCCTGACACTCCCATCCTGCCACCACCAGGTTGATCTGCCCCCAGTCGTCCAACACCCATTCGTTGATATCTCTTTCATCATGCACTCCTGCATCACTTTCCTTCGGCAGCGCCTCTGGCCACAGCTCCTCGGGGTACTCTTCCAACAGCAGCTGCGCATGATGCCTCGCCATCTTCCTTGCTGCAGGATCACTCTCCACATGTATCCATTTCTTCACCATGCACCCTGCCATCAGCGTCGCCGCCAATCCTGAGCCTATGCCTCCATACAGCTCCACTATGCATATGGCTCGTTCCAGGGTCCACAGCCTGCTCACCCTCTCCGTCAGAGCTGGCGGGTCCAACCCCGCCACCTTCCTCTCCACACTCTTCTCATACTCCTCGCCGTATCGTTCCCACGACCATTCATCCAACTCCTCACTCAAATCCTTCTTCTGTGCCTAATACGCTTCCCGCGGCTCTTGTCTGACAAATTTCACGGGCAGGGTGCCCACCGCACTCTCAGGATCCCAATACTGCACGCGGCACAAGACTTTCTCCTGCCAGGTGCATATTGTGGCTCCCACCTGGTACAGCAATTCCATCCCCGCGAGCACATCGTAGTCTTCAGATTTCGATACGCCACACTGCAGCCTTAGGCAGCACTCCTTCTCTGTCCCCGGCAGCAGCACCACCTCAATGGGTCTCTTCGTTCGCGGCATCCACTTCGGCTGCCCTCCCTCCGCCGTCATTAGGAGAATCCCTCTCTCCACAAGTCTCCCTGGCAGGTCCAGGTTTAGCTGCTTTGATAGCCCTTTGCCAATCAAGACGTTGTGTGCCCCCGTGTCAATGATGGCTTGTTTCACCGGTAGTCCTCCCACCGTCAGACTGCCCTTCTCCGCTATCACCACCGAGGCCTGGCAGACCAAGCGCTCATTTGGGTGTCTCCGCATGCCCGAGCTCCGGTTCTCCGTTCTGGGCTGGCTTCTCTTGCTGCTCTTGGTGCTTGTCTCGCTGTTCTGTGACAGACTATTGCGTGGCCTCAGATCTATTTCTTCCCTATCTCTGGGGTAAGCCATCACCACATACTCTCGCCAGTATTCCTCTTCTTCCTCCTCTTCCCCTTCAATCTCTAAATACGCCATCATTGCCCAAGCCTTCACTTCTTTTGCTGGTTGCATCTTTTCCAGCTGCATCTGAAGTTTCTTGACCTCTGCCTGAAGCTCTTCTCGGCTTGCTCCCTGTGTTTCCCTCGTCTTGCTGTAGCATTCTTCCCTCCGGTGTCCCTTCCTCCCGCAATAGTCACAGCTCGGAGCCTTCGGGCAGTCCCTCTTCAGGTGTCCTCTCTCTCCGCAGCGGTGGCACATCCGGCTGTCCATTCTTGCTCCCTGCTCGCTGACTGCCTCCGGTACTGCCGCGGCTGCCCAGCTGGTCCGCGTTCGGCTGCGTGTCTCGCCATCCTCCAGGTCCAGCAGCCTTAGGGCATGTTCTGTCCTTTTTGCCAACCCGTAGACTTCTTTGAGGGTAACTTTGGCGCCAATGCCGTACACGGTATTCCTCACCACGCTTCTCAGCTCCTCTACTAGGCTGCGCACGAACTTCCGCACTAGCAGGCGCTCATCTCGGTTCTCCAGGTCTTCTGCCAGCTCCTTCAGGCGGCAAAAGTACGCGAGCAGTGATTCCTCCTTTTTCCTCCTGAAGTCTCGGAATTCCTCCACCCTCGCTTTCGTTTGTCCGACAAACTCCTTTCTCAGCATTTGGATGAAGCGGGCCGTGGGGTTCTCGATCTCTCTGCAGGCCAGCTCCTCCATAATTTCTTCTCGCACCAACCGATAGAACGTCTCCGCTTCCCCGGTCAGGGTTCCCACCATTTTTCTGAAGAATTCCGACGGGTCGTATCCGTCTCTCTCCCAGCAGTACTGCACCGTCTCTAGCTGCATCAGAAAGTTCTTTAGGCTCGGCCCTACACCTAGGATGCCACTGTATCTTTTGGCTACTTCCACTTTAGGCAAGTTACCTGATCTCCATCACCTTTCATTTCTTATCAGCTCTTCTTCGGATTCTCCTGGCAGCGTCGCCATGGCACTCTCTATCATTTCTCCCCTTGCTGCGGTTCTCATCGTGGTGCTCCGTTCTCCGCATCCAACCATTCCGGGCATTTCTGATGGCGGGCTCCTAGTTACGTGACTTCGGCCGAGTGTTTGTGCGTGATAGCTTTGCCCAGTCTCCCTTGGCGTTCCTCCCAGTTCGGACGCTGCTTTACGCTCGCGTTCCTTATCCATTATCTCGGCGGCTGCCCGAGCTCGTTGATGTGGGGTACGATACGTTGGCGACTCTGCCTCCTTCGTAATCTGCGGAGAGGTGCTCGTCTCCTCAATAGTGTGCGCACTCCAGCTCGGTTCCGCCTGCTTATCTTCGCTTCCGTTCCAAAGGCGCGTTATTAGCAGATTTGTTATCTTTGATATTCATTGGCTTCGCCCCTTGCGTGTTTGTTAAAAGTGTGGCCCTCTAGTCTAGAGCTGCCTAGCACCATTAGATCTAGTTTAGCTCGGGTGACTCACTGGAGAGAGATGGGTTACCCTGTAGCTTGCGGGGTTGGCTTCGCCAGATTGCTGGGGAGCCTTGAGAGACTTAGGAACATGATCCAAGCTTGGTTGCGAAAACAAACACGCAAGCAGACAATGCTATGCCCTACTCACCCTTAAGTAATCTGCTTAGTTTACCGTTACCCAACGGTGCCTCAATTTCGGTTCCCTCTCTTCTTTCCACACGCTTGCTGATTTTGACATCCTCTCTATTACATGCATCGCTATCCTCCTAGTCATGAATATATATTGAGTTCATCTACTCCTACAATTATCATCATGACAATGGTCGACTCCTTAAGCGACCACTCTATACGTTGGCCAGGCCCGGGGCTGCTGCTACCATTAGCAGGGCTGCGCACTGCTGCCTTTCTCTTCCGCTTCCTGTTTGAGCGTGCGGCAGGCTCAAATTGGTGGCGATCGGCTGGAGTAGCTGGTGCATCGTCCTGATTAGGGCTGTTGTATTCTGCGGAGATAACTCTATCAATGGGAGCTAGACTACGGGCTAGGCACGGGGTAGGAGGAGCCTCTGCGTTCGTTCACTTAGTCGTTCTCTAGCACTTGTGCGTTCACAGGAAAAAACCGCAGGAGTTTCACTAGCAAAAGTTGAGAACAATGGTAGCAACTAGATTGACAAGGTAGACTACATAAGAAGCCTAGCATACAAGTTGACCACCAGCTCAGCACGAAGGCGACTTGCCAGCTGGTCGACCTCAGGCGTCCTCAGTCGACCTGCAAGGTTGGTGTGCCAGCACACCAACAACAGGCCACCACGGGTCACCACACGTGCTCATGTGCGCGCACCTACTTCGCAGATGCAAGGTGACAGTAACGACATGCACCGCCACGCACATTGTGCAGGTGCCAAGTCGACCACATATCGACGGTTGCATCTGAGGAGTCCTGTTGACCTCGTGCCACCGAACCGCAGGTCGACTTTGCCGATCTTCCTGGGCGATGGTCGCGAACCTCGCAGACCTCGTCGTCCGGGTAACCTGGTCGACCAGGCAACCATGTCGACCAGGTGTGTCATCCCAGGCCCGTCGACTGCCCAGATCGACGGCCACCTCATGTCGACCACACCAGGTCGACCACTCCCCTGGTCGACCAACTCCAGGTCGACAACCCACCTGGTCGACCAACCTCAGGTCGACCAGTATACCGGTCAGCCGACCACACCCAGTCGGCTCCCCCTGGTCGGCGTCACCCTTGTTGACGCCCTTCACTGGTCGACCTCCCAAGTCGACCAGCCGAAGTTGGCGCCCTCCCAAAGTCGGCGCCCTTGCAGTGGCCCTTGTGCAAGTCGACCAGGCCCGTCAACCAGCTCACCCGCTGTTGCAGGTCGGCTGCACTCCTCACACCCGACCCCGAGGTCGGCTCCGCCCAAGCGAGGACGGGGCGAACAACAACTCCCATTGACATATTCAGCGCCACCGTGCCAGTCAGCTACGGGATCATCGCCATCAGAGCTGGCGATGTCGTCCTCATCGTCCAAATCCTTCTCAAGGTATTTGTCGTCAATGTCGTATCTACGGGGAGCGACCGTCAATTGCGCGGGGGTTGAGCTGGCGGCTCCCACACTACGTAACGGACGTGCGGTAGGTTTTTCGGCCGCGATTTTGGCTGTCATAAATTTGACATGTGCAAGGTCCTCCACACGCCACCCTTTGTCCTCTACTGCGCCAAATGGGCCTTTACGTTTGTGTGCCATGGCTTCCGGCTAAATTGCGATGTTGAGAATAGGATGCTAAAACTCCTGTTTTGTATGCATTGACATATCTATGGACTTGGGTGTTGTTGTTGGGGCCTTGTTTGTGATTGTTTGTAGAAAGGGTTCAACGTGCTGGTGATCTGGATAGCTACGTGGTGGGAAATGCTAGAAATGTTTGGAATCGTGAACATTGAGCATGATGCTTCCCTAAGCACATTCACCACGTCACGGTCGTGCGCAGGTTAGGGTGACGGGCGAGGTGCACGGACATACATTTACGCGTCTTCTGTGGACGTGCACAGAGGGTTCCACCATGTTGAGCGACATGGTGCGATCGATTTTATTCGTGCGCATTCACGGTACAAGCCTGACAAGAGGCGTTCTATAACATGCATACAACAAATATGCGAAGCTGATAAGAGGATGTCCTGACAAGGGGCCGTAGGAACATGCCCTAATACCGTACAATTGTATTGATGACAAGTAAAGATTATGTCCTAGCAAAAACTAAAGCAACATATCCTAATAACACACAATGTACACATCACTGCCTACGAGTCATCATGCACTCCCAACAGCAGCCGGGAGCTGTTCCATTGATGTCAGAGTTGTTCCACCACACCATTCAGTGTAGTCACATGTGTATGTACAGCTGATGCTCTTTAAGAATCCCCTCAGCAGCACGTGTCCTTGAGCGCTGTGAGGAGGTGCTTGTCACTGCAGGCATTGCACTGAGGGCTCTTTCAAGAACTAGCTCTGTGCGCCTTGCTGCTGCTGCAGCCTGGCCTCGCTTGCCTCTCATGCACCAAACCCTCGTGCCTCCCCGCTTGCTGCTTCACCCCCTCCCTGCCACACACGCCACTTGCCACTGCTCTGCCACCTGCTGCCTTCACATGACCCTGCCTTCCACCTGCTGCCCTCCCTGCTGTTCGCTCCCCACACCCACAGCCCCTCACTCCTCTTCACCCCACTCACGTGCCTGCTCCTCGCCTTGCCTGCTTCTCTCACTGATGATGCAGCACCACCTGATCCCGCAACTATTGCTGCTGCTGCTGAACGTGGGTCAGACCCTGCATGTCTGCTGCCCTCGACAACCTTCACATCCATGCTGACCACCTTGCTGCTGCAAACACTCTTTCCCTTCACGGTTTCAACCCCCACCTTGCACCTTGCTGCAACAGCAGGCCTTGGCTTCTGTGCTGCTGCTGCTGTTGCTCTCACTGTTGATGTCGCAGCATGTGATTTCTGTGTTTTTGTAGCTGCTGGTGAGGGAGCAGCTGGTGATGCGGCCTCTGCTACATTCGGTGCTGTTGCAGACGCAGGAGGAACAGTTTTACCAGTCACGATCCAGGCAGGCAGGGAAGCTTCAATGGCCGCTTCAATATCCCTCGACCACGTCTCCTGGTCCAGCTTGGCCCACCTCAGGGAAGCATCACGTGCCCTCAACTTTTTGGTCCATTCAGAATCCATAGCTTGAACCTCCTGACACAGCTTATCCCACCTCGATTTCTCACTCGAATCAGCAGCGCGTGCACTCGCCTCCTCGGATATTGTTTCTGTGGTCACACTCGCTTCAGGCACCTATGGTGTGGTTGAAGCCACTGGAGCCACAGGCGCTACCTCACGCTTTTCAAAAGCACGCTGCTGCAGCACGTCTCACTATCAACATTGCGAATAGCAGCAAGAATTTAGAGATCAGCCATGTTGTCAATGGCAGTCTTCATCGGAGAGTATGATGCTGCAGGCAAGAATACCGTTCGCGGCGTGCCGAACCTGCCAATGCCTCGGGTAGGCGTGGCTGGACTTGAGGCTGATGAGCCCAAGTTGAAGCTCTTTGCCATTCCATTGTTAACGAAGCAGCAGTCCATGTTAATAGACGGCAGATCGCTTCACAGAACCCTGGTACGAGGATAGCAACAATATCTGAAAGCTATGAGTGCTGAGGTTTCAGCAGAGGACGAACCGGGGTACTGGACGAGCAGATCCGGAGATTCCAAGAGCAAGAGCAGGAAAGGAGGATGTGCGAATGAAAAGGTGGAGCCGTGGCGACCCCATTTCTATTCCACTCCGCTCAAACCCTCGCATGCACGCCTCTGCCTGTCCATTGGAGTTTCACCATCGACCTGCCTTGCTGGCCGTCGCCCTGCACGCCACGTCAGTTGCTTTTAGAATGGGTCGAAATCACAGAAAGGTTCGCCACAGCCATTCTCGAGGCGGCTTCGATTGGGGTTTCCAGATTCGTGCTTCATCGAGTCGCCTGAGCTACATTCCCGCCAACTTTTGAAAGCAACGGACCAGCCAGCAAAGGCAAAACATTTTGCAAGGGCATGACACTACCGCACGCGACGGATCTGGCGAACGCACGTTGGTTCGGGATTCAGTTTCGTGCATAGTCAAAACGCCTCATTTCGTTGGCGCCACCTTTTCTTTGCAAGCTATATGGTAACGCGAAACTGGTACCTGCGAGTGTTACCATGATTGTTACCTGTGAGTGTTACTGCGACTGATACTGTTGGCGAGCATATGGAGGCTTCGTCGCCCTCTGAACGAGCTCTGTGCGACAGATCTGGGCGACAGATCCGCCGCTGGAGGTGGAACGTTGGTATTTTGGCTGACTCCAGCTTGAATGCATTGGGAGTGCCGGGGAAGGGGTAATATAGAGATGATAAAATTCACTTTATTGAGCTGTAGCGACTTCTTTTGTAAGAAAGTTTAGAGATCAGATCCTTGTGCTCTAAAACCATCACACACGATCAATAATTATATTTTGCCATGTACAAACAACCTTGCCATATACACCAGCCTTAAAAATATTTTTTCTTGCAGGTAACCAGCATCTGTAGAAAGTTGAAGTTTGAACGTCAATAAATCCACGATACATCATAACTTAATGTACCAAAGAAATCTACTTCAATTCTCTGAAACTCAGATTGGTTCTCTAGAATGAATTTAATGGTCCAGTCTTGGGTCGCGTTTCTTCTTTACTACAATTTTGTATTTTGTTTATTTTGCTTTCCCTTATTATGCTGAGAAGTCAATATTCATGCTTTGCTATAACCTCCCCCTGTTACGCGCATCGGCGATGTTTTCTCCTAGTTTCTTTCATGTTTTGACAACTATCTTTACCTAGGTTGGTCGGTATCGAGGTATTCGTTGCTGTTTGGGATCTGAAGCCGCTGCCGTTGACCAGCATCGTGTTCTTCTTTATCGTTGCTTTATCGTGGGTACATGGAAGTTCATCAACAAGGACGCGGTTCATTGACAACAACATATGTACCGTAAGATGTAGTGAACTTTATAAATATACTGATTTATAAGACATCAACTACCTTAGCATTGAATCTGATTAGGTTGCTCTGAGTGATTACAAAATGGATGGCACAATTGCCAAAGCAAAAAGACACGTCCTCCTCCTCCTTCCCTGCGTCCACCGCCTGTCCCGTCCCAGTCGCAGTTACAGCCGGCCTCTCCACTGCCTGGTCCTTCTCCTTACTCTGGACCGACTACAGGTCTTACGGAGCGTCGTGAGCCTGAGTCGCGTCCTGTGTCGCCTGAGTCTCGTTCTGCGTCGCCTGTACGTTCTGTTCGCGCTGGTCGTGTTTCGCGTCCGCGTCCTCCTCCTGTCCCTGGCACTCACTCTATGACTCCGCGTCCTTCCACTGCTCCACAGCGTGTCCCTCTGCCGTCTCCTCCTGCGTCCTCTCTTCCTGCCGGTCCGGACCCTGCGTCTGACTCCCTCCGTGCTGCTAGTCCAGCTGTCACGCGTTTTCTGGCCACTGCTGTCACTGACCCTTTGTTTGAGTCCACTGCTGCGTTTGCTCTTGTTACTGAGCTTGTTGACTTTGCTGCAGCCTCTCGCCTAGACTACACCACTAGTCTTGTTGCTGAGTCTGCGTCTGCGTCTGTCTATCCTCCGTCCGTCGGGGGTGAGTGTGCTCTTGGCACGGACGTTCTTGAGGACAGATAGGAGGAGTTTGAGTGCTTTGCCGCTACTGTACCTCATCTCGTGTCCATGCTGCTTGCCCCTGAGGGAGACCCGGATGCACCAGACATCCCGACCCCGCGCTCGTACGCAGAGGCGATAGAGGGTCCCTACTCCTCTCAGTGGCAGGCAGCCATGGACGCCGAGATGGCTTCCTGGAAGTCCACAGGCACCTACGTTGACGAGGTTCCCCCGCCTGGGGCGAACATCGTCAGTGGCATGTGGATCTTCAGGGTGAAGCGGCCGCCGGGTTCTCCGCCTGTCTTCAAGGCGCGTTACGTTGCACGTGGCTTCAGTCAGCGACAGGGAGTTGACTTCTTCCAGACCTTCTCCCCTACCCCGAAGATGACCACTCTTCGGGTACTGCTGCACGTAGCTGCTCACCGTGACTACGAGCTCCACTCGCTTGACTTCAGCACAGCCTTCCTACAGGGCAGCCTGCACGAGGAGATCTGGCTGCGCCGCCCACCTGGCTTCACTGGGTCGTTTCCAGCTGGTACCCAGTGGAGCCTCCGACGGCCAGTCTACGGTCTTCGTCAGGCACCCCGTGAGTGGCACGACACACTCAGGACGACTCTTGCTGCTCTTGGTTTTGCTCCTTCCACTTTTGACCCTTCTCTGTTTTTACGCACTGACACTACTCTACCGCTGTTCTACGTTCTCGTGTACGTAGACGACCTTGTCTTTGCTACTGCTGACACTGAGGCACTCGCCCACGTGAAGTCCGAGCTGCAGAAGAGACACACGTGCACAGACCTGGGTGAGCTGACAAGCTATCTTGGCTTGCGGATCACCCGGGACAGAGCACAGTGCACCATTACCTTGACTCAGTCACACATGATGCAGCAGGTCCTTCAGCGCTTCGGCTTCACGTACTCCTCGCCACAGTCCACTCCTCTGCCTACAGGTCACTCGCTCTCAGCTCCACCTTCGGACGAGTCCGTAGAGCCGAGTGGCCCGTATCCAGAGCTTGTGGGCTGCCTCATGTACCTGATGACTTGCACACGACCTGACCTCGCATACCCTCTCAGCCTTCTGGCTCGCTACGTGGCTCCCGGCAGGCACCGAAAGGTGCACTGGGACGCTGCGAAGAGGGTGTTGCGATACTTGTGCAGTACATCGGGCATGGGGCTCGTGCTTGGAGGACGGGCTCGAGTTGTCCTCACTTGTCACGCTGACGCCTCCTGGGTTGACGACTTGGCTACGCAGCGGTCATCATAGGGTTACACCTTCAGTCTTGGCTCCGGTTCTGTCTCTTGGCGGTCTACCCGCTCTTCTTCTGTTCTCAGCTCCAGTTGTGAGGCTGAGATCTACGCTGGGGCCATGGCTGCACAGGAGCTCCGCTGGCTCACCTACCTGCTGACCGACTTGGGAGAGGCGCCTCGTTCTCCTCCAATTCTGTACGTCGATAACAAGGCCATGCTAGCCTTGTGTCAGGGGCACAAACTGGAGCACAGAACGAAGCACATTGCTCTGCGCTACTTCCTTGCTCGAGAGTTGCAGCAGCGTGGCCAGCTTCGTCTTGCTTACGTGGCCTCTCAGGCCAACACTGCTGATGTTTTCACCAAGGCACTTCAGCCTTGTGATCATCAGCGTTTTTGTACTGTGTTAGGCCTTGTACCTACTGTGCCTCACTTGCTTTCTTCTTGACTCTGCCTGTACTGTACTCTTTATACATATACCTGCATGCTTACACTTGCTAGGTTGTGTTCACTGTATTGTTTGTTCTCCTTTATATAACTCTGCATGTGAACTAGCCTTGTGGCCATTTGCTTGTGCTCAGACTGCGTGGTGACTTTGTGATCCACCCTGAGCTTGCTTTGTCTTTCTTGACTGGTCTTGTGACCTCTTGTTCTTCCCCACTTTGCCTATGGGGGTGTGTCAAACTTATATATGCTATAGTCTCTTTAGGATGTAGTGGGGTAGTCCTTAGAGGGTACAACACTTTTGTGTTTACTACTTGTACCCACCTTCTTTCTAGTTCATTCATTCCTCTCATTATTCTCACAAAATGCTTATTTTGATCATAGCAAACAGAGTCATCGGCACAATATACTACTAGATCCTGCTATTTCATCGAGCCATTTAATTAGAAATAAAAACATGTAATACCAATGCAGGAATAAACTACAACTTTATTATGCAGGAAGACAACAGACTTTCACAAGCTTCAATCTCAATTTCTACTGCCTTGCATATCCAAAATCCGGCAGGGTGGTTGAGATTCCAGGCATTGGGGTCACGGTTGTGTCAGAATAATGAACGAGAATGAATGCATTGAGCAGAAGTTGGGTACAAGTACTAATCCTAATTGGGTTGTACCCCTTATGGGCTACCCCACTTCAGCCTACACAATCTAAATTATATATAAGTTTGACACACCCCCATAGGCAAAGTGGGAGAGAACAAGTGGTCACAAGACCAGTCAAGAAAAGCAAAGCAAGCTCAGGGTGGATCACAAAGTCACCACACAGTCCGAGCACAAGCA